CTTTCTGTCTCCCCCGTCCCTGGTACATGGTCATGGCTGAGAAGCAAGCACAGCTTCTCCATATGTCTGTCTGCTCCATGTGCCTCTTCCAAGTCTTCTCATCCCTCCTTCCTCCCCTTCCTCTCCCCAGATTTTTCTAGCTTCTCCTGGCTGCTCAGCTCCACCCTTCCTTGAGTGGGGCGGGGAACCTGAGACTTCCCCTTTCTATTTCTTGTCACACTGTTACAATAGAACTGTTCTGTCCCTTTGGAGTCTGCATTGCACCAGGAGTGAAAGTGGGAGGTCCCTTATCATATCTTTATATGATTTTACTTTCTATGGTTTCACTTAGCATCAATTGATATGTTAGTGATAATTATTGTCTAGCATCTGTCTGAAGAATTCTTTCTTTTTTTCCCATCCCATCCATATTTATTAAGTTGAGTTCTACTGTAAGCTAGAGCTGTCCCTTATCAGTTTATTTGTGCAATTAATTTTATCAGTATGGACTCACAGATACGTGTTTTATTCCAGGAGATTGGTACTTATCATTTTGTTCTTCAGTTTACCCCATATTTGTACATTCAGTGCTCCTTCTGTTATGAGGCACTTGGGCATGAGATCTCCCTGGTGCCCTGAGGTAGATGTCAAGAGCAGGCCAGCAGTAAAAAGCCACAGCAAACGTTTCATTGAATGGAACTGATGCAGTGAAACAGAACAGGTCTCTCTTCTGCCCCATCAGATAAGCATTCCTATCTGTCGCATTTCTAACAGGTTTGTCTTCTTGCATTCTAAGGAAAAGGAACAACATCCCTAAGAGGAAAATAAGGAAATTAAACACCAAGTGCTTGTATCAAAAGGACATGTGGGCCCTTGCCCATCTCCCTTCTGTTTTATTCCTTGGTATGAATACCACTGCCCTCTGCCAAAGAGCAGGACAGTGTTCTCTCAGACATGAGTCTGCTGCCCTCCTCAGTTTGCCAACAGATTGAACTACTTTCCTCTCTTCCGATTCTGTTTCCTTTAACTGGCTTAGGGAAACTGAGGCTGGCATTTGGTATCAGAACTATAGAGAGAGAGTAGGGCTGCTTCAGGGAGAACAGCCCTGAAGTTACAGTAGGTAAGCTTTATCGAGACTAAGAGTAGAAAATTTGGGAAGGAGACATCACATGACCAAAAACTGGCTCACACAAGGCCAGATGCTAACGGCGAGGGTAGAAATGATTAACACAGTTGTTACACAGACTGTAGAGAAGTGGTGTCTGGAGGCATAGAGCGAGGTTCAGAGCAGGCAGGGATATGGAGACTGAGGCCCATTGTAAAGAATCACCAGGCCTTCTCAGTCGACCTAGGCAAACCAAATAGAGGAAAAAAATCCTTGGGGACCAAAGCTGAGTGGATAAAGCATACATTGTATGACAGTGAGGAGTGGTTTTAAAAAAAGATATGAGTCTTAGTGAACAATAAAAGACAAATAAAAAATCCTTAGGTGCCAACCCTAGAAATCATGTAGCAGCAGTTAACCATCCCACAAAGGGATGAGCCCCTCCCAAAGAGCCTGTATGGGTACAATTTCTGCGCTGGCAAAGGGCAGCTCTCCGCCCGCCTGTGCCTCTGTGGTGTCTCTTCACCAGTCTTGACCCTTTTTGAGGAGCAGAGCAGTGCTCCTCCCAGGGCTGCCCGCCTGTGTCCATGCAGGCCTCTCTTTTAACAAACCTGTCTCTTTCAGGGGCAGCTCTTCCTGCCCGCTTGTGTCTGTGCAAGCCTCCTCTACTTCTCTTCCCTTGTTTATAATAAACATCTTGCCTCACGGGAAAACTTTCTTGGGGAAACTCACCCTGTGCTGCTGAAAGATGAGCTCTGCTGAAACTTTTCTCAGGTAACCCAGATCTCCTCTCTCTGAACCCACCACTTCTCTGAACTGATGTCATTTGGCCTGTTTTGCTCCCCACTCTGTCTCTGGTGAACCCTCTTGTTAGGTTAAGCCCCCCCCCCCCCCGGAGGCCACTGCCCAGAATGTTCCAGGAAGCCCCCCTGCCCCTAGTTCCAGGAATCTTTGCTAAACCAAAAGAGAAAAAAATATCTCCCGATCTGGCCACCTGGCACCAAAGACTGTTGGGCGACCAAGGAGGCAAAAAACCTCAAATAAAGTAGCCACCTCCCAACCTCTCTGCCACGACGGCTCCCTGCCATCCTAACACTACTTAAGAAACCCCAAAACCCTCAACCGGTGCAACTCCTTCTGGCTTGGTCCAGAAGCGCCCCACAGCGCAATAAACATTTCTGCTTTGCTGTTCTTTGTCTCACACTTTATTTCTTGCCAAACTTTCCCTCACCATTCCTTTTCATTAGCCTTTAACCTCTCACCGCCCCTGCACCTCTGGCCTGAACCCCAGTTCTGTATGCATAAATAAATAAATCTTTTTTTTAAAAAGGGAAATTTTTACTGAACATTGGGCTATCTCCTTCTTTCTGCCCTTCTTTGGAAGCATCATTTCTCTCAGAAAAGGTTGGGGTTTTTTCATCCAAGAATTGAAGCCCTTAGGTAATGCTAGGGTGGGGAACATTTTGTTTCTCGGTGTGGTTAGCAGAGCTTCCTTTATAGCACTAACAGTGAAGGCACAGGATGCATCTGTGGCTTGTAGCAGTGATTTCTGCACATGGCCCTCTTACCCAGTCCACGTCAGGCTGGTCCCCATGTCTTTTTGCATGGCTCTGGTCCCAGTTTTCCTTAGTCAATAAAAGAAAACAGTTTGAAGAGAAGGAAAGTTGTTTAACATGTCGACAAACCTAGGAGGGCAGCAGACTTGTGTCTGAAAGACCACCACCCTGTACTTTGGCGGAGGGCAGGTGTTTATCTAGTTTCAAGAGGGGGGGAAGTGGACAAGCATGTCTATCCTTGTGATCCAGGCAGCTGGAGATTTGGGGGAAATTTAGGTTGGTGCCAGTTTGTTTTTGCGATAGCCTGGTAGTAGGTAATTTTGACGCTAGCTTCTTAGGGATGTTCTTTTTCATTTGGAATGTAAGAAAACAAGGTTATTAAATCTAGAGAGTCTGGTGGTACAGAACAAGAGACATGGCCTTTTATCACTGCATCATTCCTCTCTCACCATCCTACTTGGAGGATTCCCCAGTCCCTGCCATTCACCATGTGACTGTGACAAAGCCTGATGGCTCTTGGCATGTGAATGTGGATTACTGTGCGTGGAATAAAGTGCTTCCCCCTTGCATGCAGCAGTCCCTTCAGTGGCAAGCTGAGCCACAGGCTGGCCATGTCGCATTCTGTAGCCCATCTGGCTAATGCCAGAGTAAAGACCTTTGTGCCCTCACGTGGATTTTGGTGGAGGGAAACATTTTACTGGCAACCCAACCTGGTTGGACCCAAGACAGACTATGGACTGGCTATGGCCTTGAAGAGTTAAGGCTCCCCACAGATGTTGGGTAGCTCTGATCATTTCTTCGGGATGCAGCCAGGAGGCCGACTTAGGCGACTTGGAAGGGGCTGCCACGAGTGTGTTACCCACCCTGGGGTGGCGGATCAGAGCACAGTCCTAAAGGGAACGTTTGTGTTGACTTTGTGGCCTATCATGAGCACGCCATTCTTACTACACACAGAGCCCTCTGATGCCTCTTTGCTGACAAAATGTGTGGTGCTCACCACCTGGGAGGCCACTGTTTCCAGCTACGGTGTTGTCTTCTGACAAAAACTGGCTTCTTTACAGCCAGATGGACGCGATCACCTGTTGTTGGTGCCAATAACTTTTCTCTCTTTGCCCCTGGTTGGTGTGCCCTAACACCTTAGCGGGCTTAGCTCTGTTAGTTGTATTCAGTTGCACTCTGTTCGTTTGTATTAGTCTTAGGGGTTATGGCTATAGTGTTCTACATTCACCAAGGGAAACTTGTGGAAGAATGACTTATAGATTGTACAGCGATAAAGCCCCCAGAGAATATTTAATGTGTGTATTTAAGTGAGGACACCTGTGGCAGGCTATAAGGTGGCGTCACTCTGAGGTGGTTAGACAGGGACTACACAGGGAAAGACAGCCAGGCGGACGCTGAGAGAAATCTGGTCTGTCCCCTGCGTCAACATTAAAATCTAAAAATCTACTGAAGGCTCCAAATTCTCTTTTCGCCTGTGAAAACTGAAGATGAACTTACCCGGCCAGGGATAGTTGCAAAACACACAGCAACTGCTAATACTGGCCTCCCACTCCCACTTCACAGACTGTAGTGGGTAACTGGGTACAGGGTTGGGGGGTGGGGGGCTGACAAGACCCACAGCTGCCAGTGAATCTTTGAGATTTCTTTTCTACAGAATCTCAGCTTCGCCACATAGTCTTCATTCAGTACCAAATACAGCAATTTCTTCCTTGATTTCCTTGATAAGGAATTTGGCACAAAGTATTCATTCTGGAGCTTCCTTTTCTTTTTTTCTTTATTATGCACTTACAAATTCATCTTACTGCAATTTTTTTTTCATAGAAGAACTGGGGTAAAGGCAGAAGTGTGGGGAGTGAGAGAATCCATGGGAGCTGAACAGGCAGATTTACTGAAATGTACTGCTAAGGGGAGTCTTCTACTTTAGTAGAAGAGAGTGTGATATTGGCTTTTATATATTGTTGTTGTTTTATTTCTACATCTAGGCATTGATTCCAGAGCTTATCAGTTTATATTGATTAAATTTATTATATGTGTGTGTGTGTAGATATAGATATATATCCATATATATATATATATATACATATATATATTCTTTTTGCAACTGTCTCTACATGTTATAGCTTTACATTAGATGATGCCAAATAGAGAATGAGAAGGGGGTATAATTGATCAAATTTTGCTATGAAATGATGCAAAAAAGCTTTATGGTAGCATCATTTAGATGGACTATCCTGGGTTTCTATTATCTGTTCTTTCTCCATCCATTTTCATATTGTTCAATTGAACAATATTTGCATTACTACAAAAGACCCTATTTTAGAGGAAAAGTAAATGTATACTTGCTGGACCTGAGCTCCTGATCAGATCAGAGCAATTGTGATTGAGTTAATGAGGTATCCTGTGATAAAATTGGAGAATTCTTTTATTAGAAGATAGGGAGATTTGGGGACAGATGGGGTTGAGGTGATAAACTTATCAATAATAATTACTGGGAACTGCTAAGCTATTGCTAAAATGAACCTTAAAGATGTGCCATCAACCCATCACGTCACGACTGTCCAGCTGATGTCCCCTGCCCCTGAGCAGCACTCACCGTGGTTCTGTCCTGCCAGGCTGTTCATTAGGTAGGACCTTCCTTTGTGATACAGCCCTGCAATGGCCACCACCACCACGGGCTCTGAGATCTTCTCCAGAATGCTCAGTGCTTCAGGCTTTACCCTCAGCTGCTGTTCCTCATTTTCCACTAGACAGATGGGGGCTGTCATGATGTATCCAGGTGCCATGGTGATCTGTAACCCAGAGGAAGAACTCCAGAAAATAACAGCCCTGCAGGTCAGAGAGCTCATGATTGTACAAACCATATGCTTATCATCTTTCTGCTCTGGAATGTATTATCTCAATTTTCTACATTTTGTGTATTTCTAAAAATCTTCTGTAGCTTAATGCATCAACACTGGTGTAGTGGCCTAATGCACCTTATCTTATTGATGAATCCATAAAACAAACTTGATCTATAAAGTAAATGGAATGAAAATATAGAAACTAAGCAAATATAAAGACTTAAAACATTAGCATTTGGGTAATAAGTGGAGGAAGAAAGGGAATTGGAGATTAAGAACACCCAGAGAAGATTTCAGGAGCTCTAGCATCAATCTTTCATTAATGCAGAAATACTTCTTGAGTACCTGCTATGTGCCGGGATTCTTTGTTGGAGCTCAGTACCCGGCAGTGAACAAATAGATACAACTTCTGCCTCATGGAGCTCAATTCTAATATGTCTGTATGTGTGTGTGTTTCTGTGTGTTGGGGGAGCATGGAAGAGGCGGACAGGTAACAAAGAAGCAAAAAGGCAAAACACACATATGCATAAATACAGTACTTGCTCAAATAATATAATGAGCACAGAAACTATTATTGATTGAAGAGATATGGAGCTTGTCAGGGAAGTCCTTCCCTAGAATGAGAAAATAATTATATCAGTAAAAGTGATGAGGACAGGTTTGGGTGAATCAGTGGCAGCAGGAACAGGCTGGAAGAAGAGTGACCCTGAGCAAAAGAAGAAAGAAAGAATGGCACTTTCTCAAATTACATCTCCTTAATACCTAGAAAAAGTTATGAGTGAAGGAATTATGATGAAATACATTTAAAGGGCAACCTTATCCAGATGTAGGAATTATAATGGGCACAGGAGTTAATTTATCTAGGCTGATTGTAATTTCTCATTTATGGGTTGACAGGGTTGAGAGGGAATAGTCAAGATAATTTGGGAGCTGCACAGTTGTCACGTTCTATTTTGGTCAACCTTCCATTCGCAGTGCCTAGGTATCACACGAAATCAGCAGAGAACAGTAATGATCTTTGAAAAACACTGTATGTTTGAAAGACAATGCTAAAGAACATTCACATGTCCCCATACTTTCTTAGCAATGTAACCGCTGGAAGGTTTATTAATGTCATGTGCCTCAATTTCTCTTCTGAAAACAGCAATTTCTATTAATAATTCCTTTGTGATTAAGGTAAATAGTGGATTAAATATCTCTTAATTTCTAGAATACTCCTTAGTTCCTGATGGTATATAGTAAATCCTACAAAGTATTGATCAAAAGTTGAGTGTTTCTAAATGAAAATGAAGGATTGACATTGGACTGAAATAGCAACACCTGTTTGTCAAAAAACACCATCAAGTTGTTTAACAGCCTTTCTTGAAAAACCTCTCTCCTTTTTCTATTAGTGATTGTAATCAAAACGGGGGGAGTCTTGTTTCTGTTGTGTTATATATACATGGGAGAACTATGGCCTTCTATTTTCATATTTTAAAATTTGGGCAAGTGGAGGGGGAAAACAAAGAGGGAAGGAAGCACAGTGAACTATGGTCAAGTACTTGGTGGCTACAGTATGGTGGTGATAACTGATGGGGGTGATCATAATGTTACCACAATTTTAAAAAATAATTTTAAAAAGGTTTGGGAAGGAAAAAGTGAGCTTAAAAATCTTTTTTTTAATGCAAGTATACTTTTGATGAAGTTAAATTAAACTGGGTCCTATGAGCTAGTTACCCCAGTCTTCCCTCAGACACCTGCAGCACTGCTTGTGAGTTAGATGCCCCATTTGTGATGGAGGAATAAAGTTATCACAAGATTGAAATGTGACTCACACAAGGAAGTGGGGGTAGAAGGGATTAACTTGGCCATCAACCAAGCTATAGAAATCAATATCTTTGGGCTTCAGTGCCTTATCTCATGGTATCAGGCTGCTGCTGTAGGCAGTGGCTAAAGCACAGACACTCCCATGAGAGTTCAATATGGAGATTGGGCCCATTGTGGAATCTCTGGTCTTTCTCCAGTCTCTTTCTGATTCTGCATAATTGTCCAAAATCAGCAACAGTCTAACCATTCAAAAGGATGAGTCCCTCCCTACCAAAAGATGACAAAAACTAATGCCCCCACAACGGGGCAACTGTTTTATCCCACATATATCTATTCTTCTGCTCTTTTTCCCTAATAAACTTGCTCTTTAAATATAACTAACATCTGTCTCCTGGAGAAATTTTCCTGGGAAACTCACCATGTGCCTCTGAAAGGGTAGCTCTGGTCGAACCTTTCCTAGAATGAACTCAAGGACCCCCCACATTCTAAAACCACGACTCCAAAAGAATTTGAATTGTAAATGAAGAAGATTCCCCCCCCCCCTCTGTTCCTCTAATACCTGATTGGGTGGTGTTGGAAGTTGGACTGAGGTGGGAGAAAGGGTATAATTAGGAATTGTCGATCAGAGAAAGGTGAGGAATTGAGGTGGGGGGGAAAAAGGGTAGGGCCAAGGGTGAGGGGGTTGGACTAAGAAATGGGTTGAACACCAATTTTACAGAGATATGTGGGATCCACTCCTCCCCAGCAGTGCTCCTTGAGGCAGCCTGAATGAGATGTCTGAGGAAAAGCAGGCACCTGAGGACAGGGGAGGGCTTTTTCCCCTCACAGCTGCTTCAAGACCAAATGTGTTACAGGGCAGGGGCAGGGGAGAGGGGCACCACTGAACCCCCAGACCTGCCTGCTCTAAATAGGTTCTTCCATACGCTGGATCACGACAAAACGTAAGATCTTTGATGGAAAGGAACTTTAATACAATCCGTGTGCAATATAGCAAACATAAAGAATATAGTTTCTAAATCAAACACCCAAAGTTACCTATCCCCTCATAGGTTAAAGTCTACCTAAAAGGGGTTGGCCCAAAGCAAGGTCTGAAAGCCAGTCACAAGTCTAAAGCACCTCTGGAGAGACCCATAGAAATGGCTCAGAAATGGTCAGACAAGTGTGGGAGGAAAAGAGCAAAATCAAAATCAAGATAAACGCTGCCATAGAGAACCTCCCCACGGGCCTCCCACCCACATCTGTTTCAACCAGTCCAGGACCAAGAAGCAAGCACAGTGTCTTCACATGTCTCTCTGTTCCATGTGCCTCCTCAGGTCTCCTTCTGTCTCTCCATCCATCCTTCCTTCCTCCTAATTCTCCTCTCCAGATTCTTTTCCTCCCTGTTCAGCTCCACCCTCCTTTTGGGTGTGGCAGGGAATGTGGGACCTCCCCTTTTCCTGGGGACTGCCCTGATACAATTGGAGAGTCTGAGAGCCACTCTTCCTTCACCCCTCCTCACCCCTCCACTCTCTCCTCTTGGGGTCCGCATCTGCCAAGGGAAATTCCAAGAAGGGGGAAAGGGGAGCGGACGTGAGGAAGACAGAGTTGGGTGCAAGTCTCCCTGCTCATCGTTTTAGCAGGTCTTTATTTATACTGTTTAGCAAGTAGTTAGTTACAATAATGCATAAGGTAAGTTAATAAGAAATCAGCATAAAAGTTCTGAAGGAAGAGGGGAATGATGCATCCTCTTCCTGACACTTTATGGCATACTAGACTATACATCTTTGTGATAACTTTCATGTATACGGATGTTTAACTATGACTTCAAGAGATAAGGGGTCTGGGAAAGGGCGAGCTGTTAGCAAAGGATTCAAGGGTCCTAGGGAAGGAATAAATTGTGCTAGCAGAGTCATCAGTGATTGTCTAAAGAAAAGCTAGTAGCTAACTTAAGGCTAGCAGAGAGTAGCTAGTGTTTGTTTTGGGAAAAGATTAAGACTAGCAGAGAGTAGTTAGTGATTATTTAAGAAAAGCATAAATTAAGAGGAACTCGAATAGTTATGCATTAAGCAAAACCTGTGTCAATAATGTTAGGAAATTGTCCATGAGTCCTTATGCCCTGGGAGTTTTATCAGAGGTTTGCTTTTTGTTTAAAAAAACTGAGGAAGCTTCTCAGGAGTCTTGATGCTCTGGGGGGTTCTTATCTCTCCTGGAGCTTGCCTTTTGTCTCCAGACACAGAGGAATTTCCTGCCCTGGGGATGATCTTACTTTGCCCCAGCCAGATAGCCAATTTGCGAAGCTAAGTCATCTAGTTGCAAACTGATGGTTGCTTAGAATATTTTTTATATTATGATGATACAAAAAAGGGAGGTCATAACATAAGTTAGCAATGGAAATTCTGATTTTTCAGAGCTTGTCCCTTCCATCTGGAATTTGTTGGTCGACACAAGTTGCGTAGCTTGTGTCATTCTCCTCATCCCTCCAGCCTGGAACAATCCCCCGGCCTCCCCACTAACTCTCTTGTGTTGCCTCTGGCTGCCTTCCCAGAGGAGCTGGCGCCTGGTAGTTTGTTTTGTTAAAATAAGTAAATGTGCAAAACCAAGTTGAGGAGGGAACTGACTAGGAGTGTGCACTGCAGGGAACAGATCATTAGCTATCCTTGCTGCCCTTGTCTTCTGCTTTTTCCGGGGTCTCAGGCAGTCCTCTCTGTAAGCACCCGGAAGTTACAGGCTATTGATTACCTCTTACAGGTCTCATTTTGGAGAAATGAAACCAAAATGAGCAAAGGGTCCCCACCCCAGCCCCCCCCTACACACACGCACACACACAAACACACACACATGAGCTACGAGCTTAATGTTGTTGTTTTAGATTTTTTTTTTTATTTGTGCACACAGAACTGGGGTACAGGCCAGAGGCTCAGGGGCAGTGAGAGGCTTCACCAGAGACAGAGTGGGGAACAGAACAGGCAGATTGACGAAGTACACTGCTGCGGGGAGCAGCGGGTGGATCAGGAGAGGTCTGCCGCGCCATGTGGTCACCTCAGGGGCAGGTGGGAATCGAACTCATGAGGAAGTGGCTTTTAGATTCTCAGTGCTGTGCTTTAACCCGCTGCGCCACCAGGGAGGGCCTTATTGTTTAATTTTCACAGCTTTCTTTGTTTTATGCAAAGACAAACCTGTGAAGGAGGGAGGATAGTCAGAGATTTCACCACACCTGACTTAGAATTCCACGGTTTTCTCTCCTTCCATTTAAGTTTCTTTGACTCCGGGATAAATGCAGAGAAACAGGCATGAATGAAATTGTTGGTTGAGAGAGTTCAACAGTCTATCTCTCCAGGGTGATTTTCTGAGGGCCTGGGCTTGTCTACCAGTTTATTTGTTGTTGTTGTTGTTGTTGTTGTTGTTTTCTTAAAAGTTTTTACTGGGACTCTCCCTGGTGTGACGCAATGGATTGAATCACCATATTATGAAGCTCTCTGAAGCCACTGCAGCACGAGCTCGATCCCCCACCAGAGAGTGACACACATGGCGTGGCAGATCTCTCCTGACCTGCCCACTCAGTAGTATATTTCAGTAGATCTGCCTGTTCTGCTCCCCACTCTGTCTCTGGTGAATCCTGTCACCCACCACACCTCTGGTTTTACACCAGTTCTATAAGCATAAATAAATAAATCTTTTTTTTAATTGAAAAATTTTTTT